CACGCTCCTCTTTCTTGGCGCGGTTTGATATATTTGCTCATGATGCTGGGATGTTTTCTCTCGCTTTTTGTTTTGGCTGATTTGTCCCCGTGTTGCTCAACCTCCGTACTTTCCTGACTTTCATCCTGCAGAGCTTCTGCATTTGGCAGACGAATGAGACAGACTGTTTTTAAAAACAGGTGAGAGAAACAGCCGGTAGTTTCTGCTTCCTGACAGCTGATGTATGCACATGTTTAAAGAAAGAACACCTCTGAATAATGCGGGAAGTCCAGGGGTTTCAGTGATGAGAATTACTCATAATGAGTTCACTTCTTTTTTCTTTGCAAACAAGTCATGGACACAGAGATAAACACTAAGCGCTCCTTCTCTCCGTTAATTAATTTGAACAACCGAGCCTCACGAAGCAGAGAAGCTGACATTGTTAGTGGGAATAAAGGGTCGTGGGGGGAAAAACGTTTTGGACATGAACCAAAACAAGACAAAAAAAAAGTCTGACAGTCTGTTGCAGAACCAGTGACGTGTGCGTGTGTTTTAAAGGTGATATTTTTGCAGCTGTCTCTGTTTATGAAGAGAATACAAATAACTTTCACAGCGCACACACACACACAGAGACACACTGTGTGTTCCTGTCGCTGCTGAGTCATTTTTAGGCTCCTGTCTTTGCCAATTTCAGGAGGAATTCAGCTACAGAGAGGGAACTTTGCTCGTCAGTACCAAATCTGTGTGCCAAGATTTTAACAGCCTGTTTCTGTTTGTTTAACCTGCTGGCAGGCAGAAGCATAAAAAAAAAGTCATTTCACAGGAATGGATGAGTTTTGACTTCAAGGGTATTCATATGATAAATTAAAACAAGCTCAATAACTTCCATTTTCATGTTTTGTTGTTTTTCTATTTTTTATCCGACTGGATGAATGATGACAGTCTTCAGTCTGGTGTTTTGGTCTCAATTAGCTGAAGCACAATTTTATTTACAAAGGCTTCATAATTCATTTTATTTGTTGCTGTTGATTTGTTTATTTAAATTGTCTCCCAGTTCCAGTGTTAAATATTCACTAAAATTTAAAGTTTAATTATGTTTTAGAACGCGTTCTTTCATTGCCGCTATGTTAATTGAAATAGTCTCAAAACAACGTTGTCGTTATCACAATAACTTTCTCTTTTGGATCCAAAGATTAAAGCTTGAACTATTTTCCTTTCACTTCTCACCACGTTATGTTGGTCTGTGATTTTTAAAACTCAACAACAGAAAATAAATAAATAATAAATAAAACTGAAAGTTTTTGATATTACATTTACATTTCTTTTCTGAAATAAACTCTTGGTTTCCCAGTTAACTTTTATACATTGAAAGAAAGTGAGACGGAGGTTGGGATGAAACGTTCTCATCTTGCCAGGAAAGGTCGGCAAGGTCAGCACTGGTTTGGCAGGACGACATGGCACTGTTTGAGATTACGTGCTTTGATGATACGGACCAATCTGTCCGGTACACTTTTGCAATCTGTACTTTGTCTTTTCTGTAGTAAACAAAACGCTCTATAAAAACCTCCAGAGAGCCTGAAGGGACCCAGTGTGATCCCCAGCTCTCTGAGAAACACGATGAATCCTGTGACCGGTGAGACAATCTTCTCCTAACAGCCGATGACTCTGTTGTGGTCTCTCTGCTCTCTGACTTTAACGGATCTGATGTCTGTCGTTAGCCTCCGTCATTTTTGCTCTCCTGGGGCTGCTGGTTCCTGAAATCGCCTGTCAGGAGCCAAAGACCCCTCAGGAAGAGGTGGCCTTTCTGAAAGTGAGGCTCGATTTGATGAAGGATCGCTACAGGCTGCTGTGTAACCAGTACGCCAATATGGCCGACAACTGCTCAGCTCCAGGTATGTTCCTCCTCCAGGCTCCAGCAGATGGATATTTCAGTGTGCTGCGGCTTGGCAAACTGTTTACCTCACATATTTTTATATATATAATCTTCTATGTTCGCCTCAGATCCAGTAGTTTGACCTCATGACAGACACTCAACTTCACTGTATTTACTCTAACAAAAGAGGAGTTGGGGTTGACATCAGTCCATCAGCTTCTGTCACACAGTTATGGACAGCATCAGAAAAAATGGGGACAGCTGATTATGACTGTATAGTGGTATATAACAAATTTACATCAGTTACATTTAACTAATTTCATCAAATTATAAGGTTGTAATGTGTGTTTAGGACAATAAACCACTGAATCATCATTAAAGAGAAGGAAAAAAATATCTGCAATATTATGACCAGATTTTAAATGTAAACGGTAAAAAAAAAAAAAACCTTCAGGTAAACACAGTGTTTACGATAATTTAAAAAACAGCCCACTACTTTATCTCACAGGTCTATTTCTGAAAGCGTCTGATTTAAAATGTCACAATTCACCAGGTCAAAATATTTTGACAAATCTGTTCAATTGCGGTACAGTGATCCTTCATAATTGGTGTGTTTGTCCGAACAGCCATGACCTGCACAGAGTGTCCAGCTGGATGGCTGCAGGTGGGAGACCAGTGCTTCCACATGAGCACCGACAGGCACAACTTCACCTCCAGCGCTGAGAAATGTAGAGATGTAGGAGCCCAGCTCGCCATGCTGACCACAAGAGAACAGCATGTAAGCGCTTCTGTTCATCTTAAAGGTGCAGTTCAGATCATTGGCATTGATTGTCATGTTCTTAAACTTTTAGGATGCTGTGGAAAAAGAAGGCAGGAGGATCGCAGGGTTTCACATTTACTACTGGATCGGACTGAGTGACAGTGTAACTGAAGGAGACTGGAGATGGATGGACAACTCACCGCTAAAATCTTCGTATGTAAAAGTTGAAAAAACAGCAAATAAAGCAAATTGGAGAGTAGACGATGAAAGTGAGAAAAAGTGATCCGTTTGACCTAAAACTACAGCAGCTTAACTACAGAAATAGCTCAAGATAACATTTAAAAAAATACTGCTTCTACCTTTATTTAAATTTAATCACTATTGTTAAGTAGGACTTAATGCAGATAATTAGCCACATGGGTAAGTCACATGTATCACTATAAAATGTGAAAAACACTTGTGTGTGTGAATGGTCTAATGATCGGACGGCTGATTGCAGCCAGTCCACATTGTTAGCAGAACTAGAGGGCCCCAAACCCAGATTTCTCTTGGGGCCCCTTGGAGGCTTGGACCGGCCCTGATAAAATATGTCAGGAAAAAACAAAATAATAAAAAGTGGATGATTTTTTTTAATTGAGTGTAGCTCACACACGCCCACACATTGAGCAAAAAATGATTCATAAACTTGCAGCAATGTTACAGAAACACATCACATGTTGCATGTAGGTCAATCCTGCTGTGAAGCAAACAGTGAGACGCCCACACTAGATTAATTTACAAAAATATACCTCAAATAAATACAATTGTTTTGGAAACAACTGGTTTCAAGCCAGACTTCAGGATCAGGATGAACAAAGGCAGAGAGGGGTACTGTTACTTAAATATTTTCAGCATATATTTAGATTTTTAATCAAATTTTTCAGTTTTGTGTTAATATGTTAGTATTAGATTAGCATTTAAAAACTGATACACTGTGTTAAAATAACACATTGGTTTTGCTTTGTGTTAAATATAAACCTTCACAGGTTTGATCAATCCTCTTTCTTATTAGCTGAATGGTATTTAGTTTCAGGTCAAATTCTGAGGCAAAACTACTAAATCTCACCAAGTACGTTTGGCTTCTAGTGCAAATATCTTAGTTCACTCAAAAAAAGGCAATTCACCATGTCTATTCACCAAGACATAGGAGCTTGTTTAAGTCAATAATTCCTTTACTAGTTGTCAGTAAAGTAATCTGCCAGTGGATCAAGACATTTTTCTTATATTAGAAGTGAAGTAATCTTTCAGTTGAACTATTTATTTTTCATCAATATTCAGGAATTATTGGCTCATATTTTTAGCTGAACAGTTACTTGTAAGTTTGTTTTGTCTTATTTCAAGGGTACTAACATATTTGCAGTAGAAATGAGACCATAAATACTTGGTAATATTTTGTTTTTTTGCAGTGCACAAGTCCAGTTGTAAACTAGGTCACAGAATAAACCACAATAAAGAAAAAAATGCATTATCTGCAGATTTTTTCATTAAATGGCACAAAATTGACGTGTTAATGAAAATACACAGACGGTAGACACACTTGATGACATTCTACACCACTGAATTAGATTTAACAAGTACTTTTACTCTCAATGCTTTCATGCATTTTTAAAAAGCATTTACATTTACTCAAGTGATAATGTTGATGCTATACCACACAAATTTGTTTGTTTATTTGTATTTTTTACCAAAGTACAGTGTTTGTAGACTTTCTCCACCACTGAATGTGAGTAACTCATAAATACTCTCAGTGGGACTTCCTCTACAAACCTCTAGGTGGCGCCTAGGAGTCATTCTGTGTTGGAACACAAATACCTGCCTTTGTGTCACCTATCTATATTTCCTCTGAAGATGGTTCTGATTGGTCTTTGTGGAAACACTGCTTTCTGTTCTTGTGCTTTTTTTCTTTTCTTTCAAGGTTCTGGAGCGTTCACAGATCAGAACCAGACAACAACCAGTCCCAGGGTCCAGAGGGAGAGGACTGTGCAGTGGTGGACAGCTACACTCAGAGCTGGTACGACGTCCCCTGTGAATTTGAGTATCCTCGAGTCTGTCAGAAAGCCGCCACGCCGCTGCTATAAACCAACAAAGCACCACTCAGCTGCTGCATACTGATCCTTTATTAAAAAACCTCATAATACAGTCATTATATTACAGCTTCACCTTTAAATCAACTTTATCTTCTGTAAAAAAAAATATTCTGTTTCTACTTTTGGGAAATAAAGTCACCATCTGCAAAATAAAAAAACAATATGTTGAGTGTATTTTTTTTTACATAAATGGATAACTATATCATGAACAGATAATAAAATGTGATTGCAAATACACATTACATCACAATAATACAATTACAATAAAAAACTGTGTTTCTACAATAATAAATTCACAATATTACAGATATGTCACATTTTAAGTACAAATTTCTGACTCCAAAATGATCCTGACCCTAATAAGGTAAGAGTAAAACAGTTGATATAAATTAAAATTGGAAACAGTAGAAAGACAGCATGTCAACATCAGTAAGGCTGTCAGGAGTTAAGATCGGGGAGCAATTAATGGTGATGACTGTGAACTGCCAGTCATTACAGAAAAGCAAATATAATCTCCAAAGAATCACTAATCTATATGGTAGCAAGTAGCAAGCATTGGTCTCTGGTTGATATATTTCAATTACCAGTCACATTTTTAAAAAGTAGTTAAAACTGTTTCCAAGCTGACTTGTTTCATTAAGAGATGCAAAGTCAAAAACAGCAAATATCCAATCTGGTTGAAATGACCATTATCAGTAAAAAACAATCAAAAAAAGGTAAGAAAAAGTTGATATGTACAATTTTTACATTTGTTTCCTCTCTTTTTTCATTTTAGCAACATCTACTGTCTGTCCTTCAACACATAAAAGAGAGTTCGCCCAGTTCGGAAACGATGACAGTCCGTTTGGGACAGAATAGTTTGCATGACGCCCTGATCTCCTGCTGTGAACGTCCCGACTCTCAGGCCTTGTAGAAACCTTTTGGCTTTGGGCTGAAAAACAAACAAAAGAAAAATGCTTTGTTAAAGAAAAGAGACACAAATGTTCCTGATTCCTAAAGATGATCTACTGTGTAAAATTTTAACTTCCTTTTGGGTTTTGACTGCTTCTAAAAAACAACCCAATGTTGTTTGGTGTCTGGAAAATGAGCCGTTTCAAAAACCTCTCAATTGTGTCACATTCAACGGGCACTGTGCTCGTTGAATGTTGAAGCCATTTTTATGTCTGAGTGTAAACGTTGAGCTTGGGGGCGTGGTCAGCAGCACCTTATTTGGATTTAAAGTGACAAGACACCCTAAAACATCTGTATCTGAAAGAAGTTCAAAATTATTTCGTAATGAACATGTTTTGTGGATCAATCCTAACCTGTTCAAGGAAGCATAACAGGTCACCTTTAAAACTTCAGTTACATGTGTGTAAATGTATCAATGCGGGCCATCCTGTCAATCCAGGAAATGAGTATGGCTTACTTTGCGCACTTGCAGAGTCGATGCCTGAGCTGTCTCATCTTCCGCTGATGTTAGTTACAAAAAAGAAAGACAGGCAGTGAGAAAACATCCATGTTTGATCCAAATGAAAATGAGAAGAGTTTAATGTACCTGTCTGCGCCTCCAGAGGATGAAAGCTAGAACAAGGAGGAGGATCAGGATGACTCCAGCGCCGCAAATGGTCACTATCATCCACACAGTGAGAATGGGATCTGTGGAGAACAGAGAGACAGAGTCGTCAAACAGTTTACAGTAGAGAAAATGACAAGTTCAACCAGGTTTCTGCCTTCAAGCGGCCGCAGGTTCACCACCATGTCATATTTCCTGCCCTCCTCTCGCTTCCTGTGCTCACCGATCTTCAGAGCTATCACAGCTGACGTCAGCGTCGTCGTGTTCTGCCTCAGATCACACCTCCAGTTTCCAGAGTCCTCCGTTCCCACTCTGGGGATGATGAGGTGACCGGACGAAATATCGGCTTTTGCGAAGGATGATGTATCAGGGGGGACCCATTTCACCGTGACACCAGTTTCCAGAAGACCGCTGATGGAGCAGGACAGGTTCAGGTGGTGGCCTGAAATTAACTCTGTTCCTGGGGAGGGGATGACTGGAGAACAAAGAACAAGTAGATTTTGTCTTTCATTTCAAAGCAGAAAACTCACTGAAAAACAAATCTGTCACGGCCTTCTGAGTTCCTAAACCAAAATTTTTCCAAGGATGTGAGTGGCAACAGGTGGTTTGTTTCTTTCACGCATTTCCAGCTTGATTCTTTGAAAAACTGTTAGACAAAACAGCAACTAAAAGTTTCTTACGACCTTTATAAAAATGAAAGTTAATTTATCTAATCTTCCTAGGTCAAAAAGTCATCAAAAAATTGTTTTAAAAAACATCCTGTTGTCACACCGGACACCATCCTCCACCAAGGTGAGCTTTTAATAAGTCAATGGGAAGGTCTAAAAGTTACCAATGTAATCTTAACAATTCAAAACAATTATTTACAGATTTTAGTTCCAAACTAATTTATGTATATTTTAACTGCCTGGAGAAAACAAAAAGTAGCTGTGTTTAAATTACAAATGTGTGGAAATCCGTGTCGATATTTTGCTAAAAACCCATTTTTTGCAATCGCAGTGTTTCCATTGAATAAAAAATAATTTTAAAATCGGACGTTGTTCAGGCAATAAATCATTAAAAATTATGCTACATGAGATAGATTTATAATTCAGGCATGGCGTTAGCGCTCATCATTCATCAGAGGAGACGTTGGGAGCGGCTACGTAAACAACGTTTTGGAAGATTAGTGTGCAATTTTACAGAAGAGCTATTTGTTCAACATGTTCAAATGTCACACAACTTTTTATAAACTGTGCAATGTTGTGAGCTGGACATTGACAGAAAAAAAACAAAAATATCCTTCATCTACTACTTCCTGTTGTCTTCGTTGTTTTCACCAGTAGTAACATCTGGCTGCTGATCATGTGACTCGTGATGCGAAAAAATTGTTTCAATTGCAGTTTTGCAATTGAAACTGCAATACATCTATTTCTATATGACTGAAAATCCACCTCATCGTGAAGCAAAACCAGATTTTTCTTTTAGAAATTGTTTACATAAAAATAATTTATTTTCATACTTTCAAATTTTATGGCTAACAGAAATGCAGCTGGTGAAAGAACATGTGTGTTGCAAACATGTGACATAAACCAGCTGAAGTTTTGTTTTCACTTACTTTCCAGCACCTCTACAACCAGAATCCTGCTGAGCACGAAGCCATTTGTAAATGTGATGGAGCAGTTGTAGGTCCCTCTGTCTTCTGCCCTGGCCAGATTTCTGTGCAAGGAGAAATTTCCACCAGCTGTGAAGTTCTTATAGCTCAGTTCTCCGGCTGCATCCTCCTGTTTTATCTGTCCATTCCTTAATGAGAAGGAGATGATAGTCTGTTGAGTGGAAGATGTTTTCGGGGTGAAGAGCCACTCGACTGTCTCAACACTGGACAGTATGTTTTGCACAAACTCTTTGGGAGTGATCCAAAAAGGAATGCTAAGAGGGAGGTTTGTAGATGTGTAGACATATTTGGATGCAGAGGAGAAGTCTGAAACAGAAAAACCGTAAAAAAATGAAAACTTTTTTCCAGCATGCAGTAATCTGTGTTCACAATCAATAACTCACCAACAACAGAAACAAAAAATTTGAAACTGCTCTTTTTTCCGTTATCTGTCACAACACACGTCCACTCTCCATTGTCTTGGGTTTCAGCTTTCTTTCTGACTGATCCTTGGAGAACAGGTACTCTGTTGCCCGCTGGATTTAGCCAAGAAACTAAGTGTTTTATTTTAGTGTCAGCTTTGCAGTTCAGAGACAGACGATCTCCAGGGATCAGGAATGGTCGTTGTTCCTCCAGACTCACTAACATAAAAAACACAATGCATAGATGCAGAGATGTGAATTTGAGATATTAAAAAGAAAAATTTCAATAAGGAATATTTGAGCTTCATTTTAGTGATTTTGGAGATTTTCTTGGAAGTGAAAAATCTAAAAAGCTATAAAAAAAATTGATCAGATAAAGTAAAAGGTTTAGGTCAATACTTCAACTCTGACTAAGACATTGAAAACATTGTCCATATATTTTGCCATGTTAAAGTTAAATGTGTTGTGGTTAAAATACAAAACATTCATAATTTTTTCTTACCCATGACTTTGATCAGGTGAAATTTTAATGTGCGAAGTAGATTAATACCATCTTTCACTCTGCAGATGATGGTTCCAAAGTTTTCCTCTTGAATGTTATTGATGGCCAGATTATTGGCAGAGAAGGACAACCTGCTTTTCCAGATTTCACCGGAATCTGATGCAAAATTGATTGAAAACAAAATAATGTCAAAAGCACCATAAATTACAACAAGTATTAATATTGCCTTTATTGGTAAACTCCAAAAAGATAGTAAGTTTCCATTTCTAATTATTTGCTTACCTATATTAACTTGTTTTCTACTCAAATATGAAGCGTCAGCAAGCTCAAGCCCATCCTCGTTTCCAAAGTACCAGCGCATATAATAATTTGAGGGAAGATCTCCAGAATTCAGTTCAACCCTCTGTCCAACTCGCAGATAAATCACTTCATCAGCCACTAAAAGTGAAATAATATTAAGTGTTGATATGTAAAACCAAAATACCTTCTTCTAAAAAGTCTGCATTTGGTGTTTCTTACCAATCGTTTTGAGGACAATGATGAGACAGACAAAGAACTGAAGCAGGTTCTCCATTTTGGTGCCTGAAAACAGTAAGAAAATGAATTGTAGTGAATAAATTATTAATGATTTTTGAAGAAAATTAATCCACAAATTAAGACAGCAAGATATTTTCTTATTTCAAGAGTGAAGTCATGATATACAGTCACATTCAGTAAGTAAGAACATGCTTTCTGATGCAAATACTTTTCATTAAACTCACATTTCTGTTTTATAAAATGTATTTCTACAAGTCTGATGAAATATTCTAATTCTAACGATCAAGTTTTCATTAACTGTCAGTGAAAAATCATCATAATACAAAAGTAAAGACTGAAAATTGTGTAAAGATTAATCTATATCATGTGTTTCTCTTAATGGGAAAGATTATAAAATCTTTACCTTTACCAATCTTTTATTAGAATACTATTTCCGATAATTTTCTAATTTATTAACAGGGTCTGTATATTAAAAATAGACAAGAATAAAGATAGAAATATGCACACAGAAATTTCTACATTGCCATAAATTAGAGTTTATACATTTAAACAAACCTATTTATGGTTGAAAACACAGTGATCCAAACATTGAGCCTTGTGGAACACCAGCAACCTTTTTGATTTATCCTTAAATAAATTCCTAAATTCCAGAATGGCGGCATTAAAGAGTCTTATTATATCAAAACAAACCATTTTAGCTCACATGACTTTTTTCGCTCTAGTTTAAAGGAGTTATGCTGTGGGCCTTGTATTTTGAAAATACTGTAATTTGTCACCATTTATAATTTATTGTCTTAACTCATGACTCTGGAAGAAAGAGAAATCCAATTTTTGAATTAAAGTAATAAAAAATTAGTTAATATTTCAACACAATTTCTGGAAGGATCTTTTAAATTTACAGCTTTATTTGGTGGAATTATCCTGTTTTAACATTTAAATTGCTTCAGTATTAGATTTTGGAGAAGAGGTGAAAGGATTTAAGCGGAAGCAGCCCTGGGGTTGTGGTGGTCTCAGATTTAGAGAGATTTTCAGAAGATAAAAGAGGAAAGGTTCAGAGAGCTGAGAGTAGGCGGCCTGTGGTGGGCTTTGGATTCAAACAAGCAGGCAAACGTCGAGGAGGAAGAGAAACTCGGAGCGCGTTCGCTGGGTTGTGGTGGGACTTGATTTAGTTAAGGTGCAGATTGTTATCCCAGTTCTCCCCTCCCCTCTGCCTCTCACACCCCCTCTCTTCCTCTCCTGTTCCACGAAAGACGGATCTCTCCGCGCTTAAAGGGAGAAAAAAGAGAGACCACAGCACCAGCAGCGAACACAGACTGTGGTTTAAGGTACATGTTTATCCTTTTGTGCCTGTTTTACTGCTTCATCTCACTTTCATTTCTCTTTTATCCTCTGAGTTCTGTTCAAAATACTGTTTTAAATAATCAGAATCAAATCAGATTTGCATTGTGTGCACAAACAAGGAATTTGACTTGGCTTTTCAAGCACTCACAGCGTACAGACATTAAATACAAATATATAAACTACAGCGAACATAAAATAATGACAACGGAACTATTTTTTTAATTGAATTGTTATATTAAGAAAAATGTGGCATTTTCTCCTACAACTGTCATTCCTGTAGAGAAACAGGTTACTTAAAAAATATCTACCTCTTTTTACACGTTAGCAATAAAATACTTTTTTTTCCTTTATTATCTACTTTACAAATTATTTATTGCAGATTTTTCATCCAGATTATGAAGACTGTGAAGCTCTTTGAAACCCACCAATTACACAAAATCACTTAAAATAAATGGCACAAATTGTTTGAAATAAATTTTGAATAATTTAAGAGATGATGATTACTATGATGTTACTGAACATAAGAAATTCAACTGTTATGAGATGCTCTGTGTTGATCTTTGCGATGTCAAAGCTTTTTTGCATCGCGGCCAAAATTGGCAAATTTAAACAAGAAATAAAAATGCAAAAAATAAATATATATATATATATATATATATATATATATATATATATATTATAGTTTTTTGTTTGTCGTTTTACCTACTCTACAATAAACAAAAAATAATAATATTGAAACCTGTAAATAATTAGAGACCCAAAACATAAAAACTCTTACCTTGTTAAGAAAAAAACTTATAATTTCCCATTTTTTAGGGGGTCATCAATTATTTTTTAACTTGTTGGCTCAATTTTTGGAATTCTTGATTTTTAATCGTGGGCTAAAAAAAATTATGTCAAGAACCACAAATGGCCCACGAACCACAGTTTGAACAGCCCTCTAGACATTTTCATCCTTAAATTCTTATAAATGTGCCAAATTTTGTTTTAAATGGGCCTCAACCTTATTATAAAAATAAACAATGGTATGTTCAATAAATATAGAATGGTAAAGAAGTCGTTAGTCTCGTTTCTTTAGTGGTTTCTTTAGTGGAACAGAGACTGTAATGGCCGCTGCTGCTCCCTGTCTGAGTCATGTGACTTTCTCTTAGATTTAAAGTGATTCTCATTCAACCAGGAAGTTTGTTTCTTACTGTAAATGAGATAAGAACATCTTTATAAAATATAATAGATTGGTATAAAAGGAAAAACTAGAAATTTTAAAAATAATCATTAATCTTATTTATTTAGATTTATAAAAACAACTTGTCATAAATTATTTAAACTACACTAAGTTATCAATGAAAAGCTTTGTATGCGTTGCAGCTTCTTATAATTGCTGGCCATTTGATTAGATGTTTCCAGTATTATTTTGTAAATTTAGCTTTGATTATGAGCTTCTACTCCGAGGATGGACGGCCTCCTTGCCATCACCCTAATCTTTCGCTCCTTTAACAGGTTCTACGTTAGTTTGAAGCGTGGATCCTGACTGCGCCACTCAGAAACATAATGCGACTTGCAGCCAGAAGAAGAAAGGAGGTAAAATAAAAAACAACACATTAAATATTAAGAATAATAATTTTGCACATAACATTATTACTTTTAGCGTCGTATTAAACTCAAATAACTGGCAAATGCATAATCATGGGTGACTTGGATCGCTATCAGCACCATGTCAAACACATTTCTGTGTTTGTTCCGATAGCGATACTATCCATGTGTCTCTATGATAAAGTTTGAATGCCTAAAGAGTAGAAAGTATCAGGTTTGGACTGAGAAAGGAATGATGATTCAGTGTTTGTTACAGCTGATCTGTAAGAGTGTGATACATGGATGCAGAGTGACACAGATGATGAGGAGACGTTCAAAGTCTTTGCACCTGTGGAAGTTTAACCCAGAAACCACCATGATTGTATCTGTAGCAGGATGAAGCTCCAGCTCCACTGATGAAGAGGAGGGAAGGGCGAAATGAGGGCCGAACAGGGCAGGAAGTTATAAACACTGGACAGACGGAGGTTCAGTCTTTCCTGAGGAGTTCTGTGATTTTGTTCTTTTTTTAATTGCCTCTTTCTTGTATTTGAGGAAATTTGAGGCAAAGTGCCTTTTTTATTCTCTGACAATGACAGAAAACAGAAAATATTCTCAATACTTGCTGTCCAGTCTGGTTAAACAGGCAAATTTCACTTCATATTTTCAAATATGAAATTAGTTTTCCTGAATTGCGCCTTCAGTTTTACGCTATATAGAGTTTCTGGAATATGTAGTTGTTACATATTATGAAAATACATTTACCTCTTTTACTTAATAGAAAATTAAGTAAAAGAGGTGAATGTTACAGTGGAGTCAGGTTATAAATATGTTTACTACTGTAACTTATTTTACACAAACTGATTGTTTATCGCTATAATTTCTGTGCCTATTGTATCACTTTATGTATAATCGAACATTGAAAATCTTTATGTGTGTAGATATTTATATGCATTTTAACATTATAGTTTGCAAATTGCATGTAATTTAAACAGAGTATGAGTCGCGCTCATCGTAGCGGTCAGTTGTCCTGTACTCTCAGGAATGTAAATTTTATTTATAGTTTCTTTAAAAAAAATACACAGAAAGGGATTTACTAAAGAAAATGTTGAAATATAAACTTTTAAGTTTTAAATTACTTTCACCATGATTACATATCTATCAGCTTGTGTTCCTTTTACACTCGACATTTTGTGTTGATGTTGCAACTTATCAAATATGTAGAGAATAAACTTTGCGTCAGTGAATAAACATGGCATTTATATCCTCTGATACAAATAAACACAAAATAAATTTATACAAATAAAATAGGAAATGTCTGCTGGTGAGGCCTCAGTGGGCCTGTGGGGCAAAACACTTAAAATCATTGTTCAGAAAAGGTGTCACTGTTTAATAAATATGTTAGGAGCAATTCATGTGTTTTAAAAATAAATGTAAATGTGTAACTATGTACATTTAGAAAAAGTTTATACTTACAACCCATTTCAAATGTCAAGTTCAGGGTGATCCGCTGTAGACGGTGATCCGGAGTCAGGCGGAAATGCTTTGTATTTATCTAGCGAGCCGTGTTTTTAAGATCCGTTGCACCTCCCACAGCAGCGATTGGTCTGAAAGAAAGACACACAGTTGTTCATTAAAACCGGAATCAAAATAATGACCTCTTATTGGTTGCTGCAGAGAAAAAAAAGAGACACATCTGCATAAAAAATACTGTTTTTTTAGCCTAAAACTGTTTCCATCTATTTGTGACAAGAATTTCCAGCATCAATTATAGCTTAGAAACACAAAACTCATTTTTCGGGTTGTGAGAAGATGCCGTTTTAAATCAATATTATATATTTTTTACAATTACTGTCCAAAATATTTAATAAAAAGTCTATTGTATTTTTTCACTGACAGACATGATATGTTAAAAAAAAACACATAACTGGAGACCAGTTAATTGTATTTAGTATAATCTACATAATTTAATATCTAGCAAAAATGAACTAATTCCATCTCAGAGGTTTACGATCGACCTCGGCGCCTGTTTTCAGATTCCAACCCGTCAAATCACAAGAACAGAGTTTATCACGTTTTTTTTTAGTGTTTTTTGCTCTTTTTAAAGGATTTTAGTGGCCCTGTTTTAACAGCAAGTTGAGAAGAGGAAGGGCAAACAGAGAGAAGTGGAAAACATGCAGAAAGTGGCCCAGGGCCGGGAATCGAACCGAGGACAACCGCTTCGAGGACAGGAGCCTCGGTTTATGAAGCGCTGATCCATGTGGTGGCCACAGGTTCTTAGATTGAACATTTTTAATGCCTGAGTCCAAAGCTTCTTAGCAGCACAACAAATCGATGAGGAACGAGGAACAAGAGCTGGAACGAGGGTTTCTTTGGATTTGGAGGATTCAGTATGTCCATATCTTCTTGCTCATTTAAAATCTCAAAAATCTGCGTTTCCACACAAACTGAAATAATCCCAAAAAGAAACTTTTGTAAGTCAAAACACTGAACATTTACGGACATGTGACTACTTCGGGTCAAGCTCCTCTTTTTAACTCAATTATCCCATTTAGTCCAAAATAAATAAAGCAGAACTTTGTTAGTCCATTTGATCAACTTTAACCTGTTTAGACGTTTTGTCTTTGTATAAACAAAAGGCAATAGTTTCTGTTTCTGCCCTTTTTCATTGTTGAATCTGCAGCTTTCAGTGAAGCGTTAAAAATCCAGCTCTATGTTATCAAAATGTAAATCATCTCATTGTAATTTGGACCAATAATTCAAAATTCTTCACACGAAACATTATTTGCTCGAAGAACCGCGTTGAACGTTAAGATAAGGACTGAAACTTGTCCGCCTGAATCTGGTTTTTGAAAACTTGTCAGTCTGTCGCCGTCAATAACGTGGCTCTGATAACTGTAAGAAATGACCATTTAAATAATTCATATGAGCTCATTTTAAGTTTGAAGCAGTTTAAAGCCCGCTATAGGAATCCATCAAGATGGACTTTAATAATATCAGAATAGTTGATGCCTGTGGCTGAGTTTGGTCGTCTAATTGCGTTTTATTCCTGCCCAGTGGAAGCTTGTTGGCGGTTTTACTCCAACATTCACCTTTTTCATTATTTTCTGCTATTCAAAGCTTTCAGATGGCCAAAGTTTTTTTCAGACTAGAAAACACATATTGCTCCTTTTCTGCTCTCTCTGACTTTCATTGAGAATAAACTGGTGAAATGAAACATTTCACTTTATGTTTAGTAGCGGTTGTTTGTTTCTTACAATTGTGAACTAAATTCAAAGTTTATCTTTTGCACCGAGTTTTATTTTTAGTCTCTGACTCTTCATAACTCGTTTCATTGTTTATTTTTTCAATTCATTAAATAGGAAAGAAAGATAGTATGTTTTTCTCATGTTTGCTTTATGCCTTCATGAACAAATTTAACCTCTGACTGAACGATGATTAAAATGAGCCGTGGACACAAGTCTATCAGTGGAACGTTTCGCTGTTTTCACATATGAAAAAACATAATATTTTAGTTTAAAACATGTAAAGATAATCATTTGGAAACAGTTTATCAAAGCCCAACTTTAGCATTTAAAAATAAAATTAAACAAATTATTAACTTTTGTAGAGACTTGTGTTTTTTTTGTAAAAATCTATGTTCAATTTAATTGTTTCTGAAATTTAAAGTAAAAATCTTCTGTGTAAAATCAATTACTTTCTATCTGAGAAACTATTGAAGGACTTGAAGTTAAAGATCAGCTCAGAATAATGACGCTGCATCCAAAACTACTGTTTATCTTCACAAAAAAACAAACGCAATCTGATTCAGTCTTTTATCAAAAACTCTGCTTTTTGTTAAACTTACTGAATGGGGAGCCAAGTCCAGCTAACTTGGAAATTAAAATGAACATGAAAATATTTGGTTAAAAAAGGTGAAGTCTTGGGGATAAAGAACATTTAACATTTTCTGCATCATGTCTGAAAAGCTTCTCGTTAAAAATTAAAATGTGTCCATCTGAGTCCATCGCAGTGCAGAAAAGACAGGATTCATGTCTTTCCTTAGTTTCGTCTAAGTTCAACCTCATGCAGACTCTAGAAAGAGACACCAGAATCATCCAGTTTCCTTTGATCGGGAAGATCAAATACTGAAAAATCTGATTCTTTTTAATTCACTGAATGCATAAAAATAAGACTTATTCCCATTATTATGCTTAAATACAACAACCAACATACACTTTAAATGAATTAAGTAAATATCAGATAAAGGTCAGAGAAATGTGCTTGGATGCTGAAGTCCAGTCCTCCAGCTCTACAGTCCTGTAACGTTCAGATTCATCTAGAATCAAGTGAACTGTTCAGGAACAGATGTGAACAGATGGTTCTCTGCAGATGTGAATGAGGAGGATGAAACTCAGTAATTTGATTCAAGAGTTTTGGTGAAGTAAAAGGAACAATAAAGTGGAATAATAATTGATGAACATGCTAATCCGCTAAATTGTCAAAACATTACAGCCTCCATAAGAAGTTTCTGATTTGTCTTTTTGTTGAAAAACAAACTGAGAGCAGCCAGAGGATTAACTGGAATATTCTTTATCTTTTATATGTTACGGCCTTTTAAATGGAAAATCTCAAAGAAAACCGATCGGCAGCAGACAAAGAAGCCAGATGGGTGCGTTCCTAAAATGTCGAGAGGATTTTTATAAACATATGTTTCTGTTTGAGACATGAGTTTGTGTGAAAATCACCCGTTAAAACTTTAGTTTCTCAAATATAAGTGAAGCTGCACACAAACATTTGTTCTTTTTCTATATTATTTCCCAAACTAACGGCTTCAAATCTGCTTAGACACCTGAAAAAGGAGAAACATTAAAAAAAAACAGATGCATTTCACACCTTTAATCCCGTTATAGAGTAAATTTTCACTTAGGCAGCTGCAGTTATCAGATCGGTGGGCCGGGTGCTTCAGAAACACACTGCTGAGGTGGTTTGGAGACAGGAACCACAACAAGGACAAAACAAACATCTCATACACGTCTCATGTGTCTCTCTGAGGTTTCTGTGCTTGCCTCTGTACTGCCTTCATGAAGGCGTCACACCTGCTTCTGTTCCCTCTGGGCTCGTAAATGAAAATGTCGCTTCCTCTGCACGACGAAACCTGCAGGTTAGAAACACGTCTCCTGTAAATAATAAGCCGCCTTTAGAGAAGTTCTGGACGTGAATCTGTTTAAAAACGCTGCGGGCCGAGCGCGGCGTTCCTCTCTGTCGATTTGTGATTTTGATGGAAAACACCTGAAAGTGAGGACTCCCTCGTTAGTCACTCACCTAACGAGGGAGCGTGTATCACAACGTGTCATGACCGAAAGAAAGAAAGACCCGGTGTGGGCCACGATCAAGAAACAAGGGATGATTCACATCTTTCACTCTGCTCATCCCCCGTGTTCTCCTTCTCAGGGTTTCCCTCTGCGATCGATCTCAGCTTTTCTGCATTCAGAATAACCATTTTAGCTTAAAGCTAATTGAAACAAATAAACAAACGGTGGCTGTTTGAGGCCCAGTGGAAAAGAGCGAAATGTTTCATTCTCTGCAGCACTTCAGATGCGTCAATACACAAAATGTCAGTGGAAAAGAAAATGAAAAACAAGTGACATTCGTCTCAGTGACTGAAAACATTTTCGTGTTTTAGCTGATGGAGGGGAACTTCATTCAAGCTTTTTTGAAACCTCAACATTGTGAAACAGGGGATGAGGACGGTCTCTCCCACTCATTTCTTCTTCATCTGTGATGTTATTTTTGGTTAGTAGGCTGATCTGTGATCACTTCGTCAGAATGGAAATACAGGCTCCTTGTTTTTGACATACAGAGTAGTTTATAACGCAAACAGGATTACAGTAAATCAGATTACAGTGGTAAGCAGCCGTACAGTGTTTCAAAAAGCGTAATGTGAATTTGTATTTAGCGACTCAATCTCCTTGTTTTGCAATTCTTCTTCATAAAATAGCCAATTCTCATGGAGATATCTGGGGATCTTCTCCAGAGTCTCACTTAAATTTTGGCCTGAACTTTGACTGGGCCACTATATCTAAAGTAAATCGTTCCATTGTGTCTCTGCCGTGTTTTTATGGTTGTTGTTGTTCTACTGGAGGCTGAACTTCGGCTCCTGGCTCAATGTTTGGCAGATTGTAACATGTTTTCTCGTGTTTAGCGATAAATTGTTTTCAACATTTGTAAAATTGTTGAAAACAATTCATCCATTATCTCCCGTTTCACAATTATCTTCAACTTGACGATGGTCTAAAATATAACCCCTTCCAAAAAACACACTAAAGTTTACAGTTTGATAGAAAAGGTTAGTAACAACAGAAATAAGCTCAAAGGAAGGAAGAGTCAAAGTAAAGCCTCAAATCTAATCGTCTAGAGAAAAATAAGCTTCAGTTTACTGAAGAAAAAATCTGATTCCACAGTGAATTTAGTCAATCTGTGAGTTTTGAGGAAAAAAAAAACTCGTCGTCACTGAAATCACAAAAAACACTAAAAGTTTTGTTCTTGTATGAATCTCCAGACGGTTGAGTTCAACCTTCACACACAGGTTCATCAGTTCAGTCGTTTAAAATGGTTTCACGTTGAA